AACGTTGAATATTATTTATGATTTTAACTTTATACACAAGTGCCAAAATACTATACTTATATCTTTAACTGTCTAAACAATTACACCCTGGTAACTTATACTTGTAAAAAAAATAAAAATAGTAGTTTTAAACTACAAATATGTGAGATATAGATCGAAAATAGTACTTCAAAAAGAAACTAGCTTCCTAATATATCCTCATGTGTTGAGAATGTCATGAATGTACATTTAGTTTTCTGTATCGTTATGTAAACTGGAAGCATAGATAAATTCGTTTTTTCACTGATTATTAAGTTCAGTGACATACAAAATCAGTTCTTAATTAATTAAGTTAGATTTACGTACAACTTATTTTGTATATTCTGTAATAATAAACAGTAAATGTGTTGTATTTATCAAATGTAAAAGAATAATATTTTCTTGTAGACCATATCTTTTATCTTAAGAAACAACAAAGTTGAAATATTTTGTCAAGAACTTTTACAGATTTTGTTCTTAAAAGCTTCAAAAGTAGAATGTATGTATATTATTTATGATAAATCATAGATAAATTCGTATTTTTCTAAGTTAATTTTTTGTTAATAAATGTTTCAGTACGTGTGATACTTGACTAGTCTATGATTTCTACTTGCATATATTGTATATAACATATTAGACTGTGGTGAAACACGTCAGTTTTGAGCTGTAGGTAATGTGAGGCTCAAGATCTAATGTTCAGCTCGACGGGGGGGTAGGCAATTTAGTTAAGGATTTAAAGTGCATGATTTATGTGGAAGAGTTTCAATGATCATTTTTGCTGGAATTACTTTGGGGAGTGGCCCTTATATTTCGTTTATGTTTTTTGTTTTCTATTTAACTAATAACATGCTAGAACAAGTGTATATTATTATATTGGGCTGTAGATCAATATTTTATACATTATAACATGTTTTCGTAAATAATATATTAGTGTGTCTTGAAGTTTTGTTAATAAAAGTTTCAGTATATGTGATATTTGTTAAGCCTGTGATTTTACTTACATACAAGTGTAAAGAAAAATTAAATAAAACAATTAGGAAGTAAGAATGAGAGGAACAAAAAGTAAGGAAACAAGGTAGGAATGGGTAGGATAACATTACAACACTTGGTGATTTTGGACACAGTGCAACAATATAGTGGGTGCGGCCATCGTTCCACCCATTCCTACTTCATATGCTTTTTCTAGCTTGGTAATTGTTGAAACTAAATGAAAGATGTATGTAATTAAATTTCTCTGTTGCAAACTTTGCTTCAGCAGCCAAGTACAGATACATGTATTTAATCAAGTTACGTGACCCTAATCATGCATGACATCATAAGGAGGTATTTGATGTCGAAAGTGAGACATGAAGCTCCATTAGTCATTCTTTGCTTATGAGAGTCATTATAGCTGTCTGACTGCTAAGGGGTGGGCCAAAAAAATAGTATCAAAACCGCTGATTTTTGAAATTTGTAAATTTGTTGAGTATTTAGAAAAGATTAGCAACTGATAAAACTCAATTCCAGTCTATAATTGGATCAAAGTTAAAAGTAAAATACGAAGTAGGAATGAGGTAACACTTTGTGAAAAACCACCAAGTGTTGTAATGTTATCCTACTCATTCCTACCTTGTTTCCTTACTTTTTGGTTCTCTCATTCCTACTTTCTAATTTTATATTTAGAAAATTTTTACACTTGTCTCATAGCTTTTTTCGGTGCTAAGTCTCGAGAGTGACTGTGCTCTAGGCCTATCTCGTAGCTTTTCTTAGAGCTATCTCTTGGCATTTTATTATAACTGAGCCTAATCTTTACCATTTCGCTACTGGGTTGCTGTTTTGTTATAACTTAGCCTAATCTCTACCGCTTCTCTACCGAAATTCTGTTTTATTGTAACTTTGTCTACTCTTTTCCGTTTCTCTACTAAAAGTTTATTTTATTATAAATGAGCCTAATCTCTACCGCTTCGCTACTGAAAGTCTGTTTTGTTATAACCGTGCCTGATATTTACCATTTTGCTCCAGAATATCCGTTTTGTTATAACCGTGCCTAATCTTTATCATTTGTTGCTAGAGCAATGTCAACACGAGTAGTTGCAACAATGTGGTGGTTCTTTACGTTGATAATGATTTCATCGTACACAGCCAATCTGGCTGCTTTTCTGACTGCGGAAAGGATGAATTCGCCAATAGAAAGTGCTGAAGATCTAGCTAAACAAGTATCGATACAATACGGCTGTCTAAGTTCGGGGTCAACGAAAAACTTTTTTAAGGTAAGTGTGTTTCTCACATACAATAATACGTACTCTTCACGGAACGATTTTACTTTACGATCGAACATTTGTTCAAACCTCCTTCTTTGATGTTGAAAGTGTTATTAAAGAAGTAAGTTTAATAAACAACAAAATGTTCCTAACACTTAGAAATAAATATCTTGTTTAATAAACAACAAAATGTCTCTAGCACACAGATAGTATAAAGCTCTTGTTTAATAAACAACAAAATGTCTCTAACACTTAGATAGATATAATTATCTTGTTTAATAAACAACAAAATGTCTCTAACACACAGATAGAATAAAGCTCTTGTTTAATAAACAACAAGATGTTTCTAACACTTAATAGAAATATTACTCTTGTTTAATAAACAAGATGTCTCTAACACTTAGATAGAAATAATTATCTTGTTTAATAAACAACAAGATATTTCTAACACTTGATAGAAATAATACTCTTGTTTAATAAACAACAAGATGTCTCTAACACTTAGAAATAAAGCTTTTGTTTAATAAACAACAAGATATCTCTAACACTTAGATAGAAATAATTATCTTGTTTAATGAACAACGAGATGTTTCTAACACTTAATAGAAACAATGCTCTTGTTTAATAAACAACAAGATTTCTCTAACACTCTTGTTTAATAGACAAAAAGTTGTCTATAACACTTGGATAGAAATAAAGCAGAAATAAAGCTCTTGTTTGATAAACAACAAGCTGTCGCCAACACTTAGATAGAAATAATTATCTTGTTTAATAAACAACAAGATGTCTCTAAAACTTAGATAGAAATAAAGTTATTGTTTAATAAACAACAAGATGTCTCTAACACTTAGATAGAAATAAAGCTCTTGTTTAATAAACAACAAGATATATCTATCATTTAGACAGAAATAAAGTTCTTGTTTAATAAACAACAAGATATCTCTATCACATATAGATAGAAATAAAGCTCTTGTTTAATAAACAACAAGATATATCTATCATTTAGACAGAAATAAAGTTCTTGTTTAATAAACAACAAGATATCTCTATCACATATAGACAGAAATAAAGCTCTTGTTTAATAAACAACAAGATATCTCTATCATTTAGACAGAAATAAAGCTCTTGTTTAATAAACAACAAGATATCTCTATCACATATAGATAGAAATAAAGCTCTTGTTTAATAAACAACAAGTGTCTACCATTCCTACCTACAACGTAAGCTCTTATTTAACATACTACAAGTCAAGAAAATGAGAATACACGTGCATTCACAAGTGACGTCATATTTGGAACTACCACGAAATGAATCACGTGCGCTGCTTCCGAGCACAAGCGTCAAATTCCTGCAATGTTCACCAAGCTCTTTTGTTAAACATATTTTGTCATTAATTGGATTGTTGATATTTCAGAAATATCAAACTAATGAAATGTGATAAACTGTGGCATCTTTATTCTAAAAAGAGTAAAATGAATTAACATTGATTAATCTAATTAAGAAAATATAGTATTAAATATATTGTTACTTCTCCGTTTGTTAATTAACTTTCCGTAACTTCGTTCCGACG